GAATCTTGAAGGGCCCCTTCTCCAGGGATTTTCTGAGGAAGATGACTCCACATTTTCTGAGGACCTACACCAAGTAGGCTTCAGTGTAGCAATGGGTGGGAGGCAAGCATGGGCACTCCAAACATCATCTGCCAAGAGCTTTTGATTACACCTGTATATGAAATACAAATAGCCCATATGGCTGACTTGAGCTAGGAAACCCTGTTTGGGAGACTGCAAGTACTTACAGTTCACTTTGGGTGTCAGCATCGTTATTCCAATTGCCAGTGTGTTCTATGGACCTTTCTATAATAATTCTAGTAAAGATTCTATAACTCAAGATTTTATAAAGACCGATGAAAAAATTATATACTGTAGCTGAACATTATTCAGAGATCTGAACATTATAAATCTGAACATTTATAGATCCATAAATAATGAACAGAATATTATTTATAGATCAATGAAATTAAGTTAAATTAATATACTTAATTCTCCAGTCTTGTCTTCTTCTAGAATTAATTCCAGTCTCTGTTCCCTAGTTAAACTCTCAGCCAAATAGTAGTGACTAGCATTTATGGAAAGCTTACTACATGTCATATATTATTCTACCTACTTTACATGGTGGTATGGGTTGAATTATGTCTCCCCACAATATGTATTGAAATCCTGGCCGTATGCTGTCATGATCCGATTGTGCTTTTTAATCAGTTGGCCTCGGGCAGAGCAGGTCACTGCTCTAGTCTAATGTAATTTAATCAATCAGCTGAAGTCACAGCAGTGCAGGGTGAATTCTAAATTCTAAATAAATTCTGAGCTATAAAAAGAGCAGGTTAGACACAGAGGCCCACATAGGGGAAGACAGATACCATGCGAATATCACTAAGGAACGTCTGGGAATAGTGACAAGAAAGGAATCAACATGGCCAAGACCCTGATTTGGACTTTGAGCCTCCAAAACTGTGAGGAAATAAATTTCTGTCCTTTAAAGTCTCTCACTTGTAGTATTTCTGTTATAGCAGCACTAGAAAATGAAGACACATGGGTTATCTTATCTAATCCTTAGAGCAACCCTATGTGGTAAGTATTATTACTAATTGACAGGTAAGTAAGGTGAGATTCAGAGATCTCCTCCGAGGTCACACAGCTATGAGGTACGAGAGCTAGGACTCCAACTCAAGTGGTCTCATTCCAGAACCTGCACTCTTAGCCACCTGCTCCCCTCCTGCTGGGGGAACAAGCTCCCCTCCTGCTGGGGGAACAAGTCCCGCCCTATCTGGAACCTTTTCTTTGATCTTCCTGGCTCTTCTTTAGGATAGGGCTCATGTAGTTTTAATTCCAGGTTGTCTGCATTGAAATGCTTATCTCCTGATAGCTTGGCTGATAAAATTTTTGCAAAGAAGACTCATCTGTAATTTCTCAGCGTTTATACTGTTAGTACAGAGCACTCATCTGTTATCCCAAACTTACTGGCTGTGGAATCAGACAACAGCTATTTCTACTATCACCCCTCTTTTTTTGACCTTTCCTGGACTACATTAGCAAACTTCTGCAAGCTGCCTGTCTGGGGTCTCAGTAAGGTAGGTGCTGGCTAGATCAGTGAATACTCAGTCTCTTCTACACAATGTCCTGGCTCTTTGGCCTCTGGCTCAGACTCCGATAGGCTGCTGTAATCATTAACTATTGCAGGAAGCCTACAAGTCGACCAGGTGTCACAGTACCTGCCTCTGTTCAACAAGAGGCAGCATCTCTTGAAGTCCTTAGATGGAGAGAAGTAAGGAAAGAGATGGTGGTGAGGGGGTGGCAGAGCAAGAGCTGGGCAGTGGACCACGGGGCCTGAAGCTAAGGAGGGAGATCGGCTTGTGGAGCGCTGTGTCCCTGATTGCTGGCTGTATGATCGGCTCTGGCATCTTCATGACACCACAGCGGGTGTTGATCTACATGGGCAGCCCCGGGGCCAGTCTTGTGGTCTGGGCAACCTGTGGTTTCCTGGCCACGTTGGGTGCCCTTTGCTATGCTGAGCTAGGTGCCCTGATTCCTGAATCCGGGGGGGACTACACCTACATCTTGCGAACTTTTGGCTCCTTGCCAGGCTTCCTGGTCATCTATACGTCTGTGCTAGTTAGCAGACCAGCTACCATTGCTGCTGTCTCTCTGAGCTTTGCTGAGTACACCGTGGCCCCATTTTACCCGGGCTGTTCCTCACTACCCCAAGTTGTGGTTAAGGGAGTGGCTGCCACCGGTATCCTGCTACTGATGCTGCTCAACTGCTGGAGCGCACGGCTGGCCACCATGCTGACAAACGTGTGCACAATGGCCAAAGTGCTCTCACTGCTGATCATCGTGGTGGGTGGGTTCGTGGTGCTGGGCCAGGGCCATGGCCGCACAGAAGCCCTTCTGCACGCCTTCCACAATACAACGCAGCAGGCAGGGCACATCAGCATAGCCTTCTATCAGGGCCTGTGGTCTTTTGACGGCTGGAATAGCCTCAACTTTGTGATGGAGGAGCTCAGGAATCCACACGTGAGTCCGTGATGCTGCTTCTGGGGGTGAAATCTCCAAACATCAGCAGCTCCAATTATTGTTGGTCATGCTGACTCAGACTTATGAGCAATCTGGCTGGAAACATGGGATCCTTTCCTGTACTCATGGGACTTGAAAGAGAGGCTGCTCTCTACCTTTATTATTTTATGCAATTATATAAATAATAACTCATGTATACACAGAACTTTATAGTATTATACCCATGGTCTCATTTTGCTGTCCTGTAAGGTAGGCATTATCACCCCATTGTTCAGATGGGAAAACTGAGACGTAGAAAGGGGAAATGATTTTGGGATCATACTGCTCATAAGAAGCCTTGCTTGATGTCTCAGCTTGATATTTCCTTATGTTCTTTCCAGAACACTGTAATAGATACTTAATTCATGATTGCCAAGGTATGGGAGCCATCACAAGACATAGCATAGTTTGAGAGAGGGGATGGGTAAGTCCAGCCTGACTTATCCTACCTGTGAGCCTGGGATGGGACAGTCATTGCCCTCAGAGGGATAGCTCTGCAGGGCAGCTTGGGACTCAGTTGAAACATTTGAACTCTTTGGTTACTATGGGTACACTAGCTTGAGAACTTATTATTTTATTTTTTGTTATCTTTCTTCTCCTACAGGAGTTTTAAATTCTCATGGATTAGTATTGCCAGTCCATTCCTCTATGTCCTATGAGCTGTCTTAAGGGTCATTACTGCTCTCAGTGTCTCGGCAAAGTCTCCCTGGAGAGGGCTTTGGGAGAAGCTGGCAGTAGCTTGAAGACTGAAGTCCAAGAGCAGAGAGAGAGAGGAGAGAGCCAGGAGTCCTAGGACCTAGTATTTATTTTTGCATGTAATTCCTTGCACCTCAGCTTCTTTGCTTTGTAAAACAGGCATCATAATAGCTGCCCTACCTACCTCACAGGGCTTTTTGGGATCAAATGGTTACAATCACTGGTGGACGATGGCTAGTACCTTAAAGAGCTGTACAGTTGTGACTTTCAGGTGAATACTTATTGAGTGCTCAGGTTGGCTCTGGGCCTGGGGTAGGGGCAGGGGAACCCAGGACTTTGCTCCCCTGGCCCACTTTTGCTACAAGTGGCTTCATCTGAGCAGAGCCATAGCTCCATGACTGGCAAGAAGAGGAATTAGCTAGTTAAGGCCTTGCTGTGGTTGGGGCAGTGTCCTTTGCCCTCAGATTCCTAGAGTTTAGGGCTGAAAGGAACTTGAGAAGACCCAAGTGCACCCCCTACCTCATATGAGAATCCATTGCTGTCCAATTTGCTTCACTTTCCCAAGTTTGCCACATGACCTGTTGGGCAGGGGGACCAACTGTCTTGGTTACTCAGGACTGAGGAGTTTCTAGAAATGCTGGACTTTCAATGCTATAACCCAGAGAATCTCAGGCAAACTAGATGAATTGGTCACCCTACCTGATTCCTGCCCTTAGGGGACAGAGGCTTGGATATAATAAATCAGGGCATGATTGCTAGGGTGCTGCCCCCACGTGCTGCTGGAGCTCAGAAAAGAGAGATCCCAGTGAAGCAGGGAAATTTCCAACAGATCTCCTGGAAGAAGAGCACTGTAGTGGAGGGTCCAAGGACTGATATGGCTTGTGGCAGAATGGCTATGTAGAAGCAGCATGAACATGAACCCAGAGTTCAGAAGAAACAGGGCATGTTTGTGTCACAGGGAAATATGAGGGGTGCATGAGGACCCATCTCCGAGGCTGGTAATAGATCTCAGCCTCAACCTTACCTCCTATGCCCATCTCAAAAGTTTTCTGTGGGCAGATCTCAGCCCTAGCAGAAAGTTCTGGAAAGTGGTATTTATATAATGTTGAAGAGTGAAAGATGTGTTAATCAGGGACAGATGCTTAAATAGGGGGAGGATCCTATTTGTGATGGGATACCTCTGTGTCAAGATCTGAGAGAGATTCCTCTGCATCTTGGTAAAGAATTACCTCTTCTCTGTTTGGTTTAATGTTAAATTTTAAATTTTGGTCACAGCAATGCCATGTCTGGTGCACAGCTGGTACTGTGCCCAGACCTGGGCTCATCAGTGCTTGCCTGGCCTTCCCAAGGTAAGCCAGAAGACATCTAGGGTAAGCCTTCCAGGATATTGGGAAGTGCCTAGGACATGGGTTCTCCTGGAAGTGTTTCCTACCTTGGAGTCTAAAGATACCTGTCCAGGACTGGCCTGAGCTAAGGAATGTTGGTAACGCAGAAGCTGGTTCTGTGGATCCAGAGGGAGGCCTCTTCCTTCCATTTGCTCCTTGCTCTAGAATGGCATCCAAGGCTAGGGGTGACGAGTGGGAGGGAGCAGTCTGCATTCTGATTTTATGAAGTTTTCACTCGTTTCTCACTATTTATTGAATGTCTGCTCAATACATTTATTGAGTAACTCTGGGGCAGTTGGTGCTGAGGGTCCAACAGGGAAAACCAGTCCAAGTGCCCACAACTCCTGTGTCTGGACCCTTCCTTATCCATTTTCTCCACCGATCCTCACAACTTGCGGAGAGCAGAGCAGTGAAGAATCCCATTTACTGGGTCCCTAATGATTCCCAATTTCCAGTTGAGAAAACTGAGAGTCAGAGTAGAACCCCTGGGAAATGGCCCTCAGTCTGGGCCTGAGTCCTGGGGACCCAGAAACTATGCAAAGTTAGGGTAGTTGGTCCTGAAATATTCCAGCTGGATTGATATGTAACCAGCAGACTGATGAGATCTTTAACTTTCCTGACTCTTCTGTGTGCCTCTGCTTTTGTGGTTGCCCCTGCTGGGAATGACTCTCCTTCCCACCTGCCTGAATCGCTTTCATTCTTCCAGGAGGGCCTAGGTTAAGCCCTCCTCATTCAGGAAGCTTTGGTGCTTGCTCTTCTCTCTCTGACACATCTGTCAGTCCCTCTGTACCTCCACACCTCAGACTCTGGTCCATGCCCCTCACAGCCTCCCAACATAGCCCTCCTGCATGTGTGTCCATACCATGGGGACTATGAGCTCATAAGGACAGGCACCCAGCCGGATTCCTCCCCCAGGGCCTGGCACAATGTCCTGCACCCAAGATGAGCTCAGCACTGTGCTATTGAGCTTGTTTGGGGGGCCTGAGAAAGACTTCACTGGTGACAGTGTGGCCTCTTCTCCCTCTCTCTGCAGCAGAACTTGGTGTGGGCAGTGATGATCGCCATGCCCCTGGTCACCGGCCTATACATCCTGGTCAACATCAGTTACCTGCTAGTGTTGTCACCCAGTGAAATCCTCTCCTCTGATGCGATGGCTGTGAGCTGGGGGTGAGTGAGTCATGTGGTGTGTCTGTTGAATGAGGCTGAGCCCTTACTCAGGAGGTAGGCAGGGACTCTGAGCCAGGCAGGCAGGGGTCTCCCTTCATCTTAGCACTGCTCAAACTCCTTGATCTGGGGTCCAGACCATCCTTCACTTACCTTCTTTGGCTTCTGAAGGCACATAGTCAGAGCCCAGGATTCACTTGACCTGTTCTTGAATGCACCTTTAAGATCCTTCCTGAGCACCTTCTGTGTATTATAGTGTGGTCACCACTACTGTGTACTTGGCTTTGTGCTTGTCAGTTTCTGTGTTTCAGTGCTGAGCTCTAGACTTATTCTTGTTGGCCCCAGGCTGGGCCAACCTGTGGAAGAGGCTGATACTTGAGTATGGTCTCTATCCTTGGAGAACTCACAGGTTACCTGAGGAGAGAGCCATGTAGACCATGGTCCCAGGTTAAATTAGGTGGTTTAGGCTTAAATGCCCTGGGAATTCAGAGATGTGAAGGCTGAACCAGACAGACTGGACTTCTTAGAAGAGGGAGATCCATGTTTAAACAAATCAGTAGGATTAGGGCTGGCTGAGAGATGGTAGAGTATTCCTAGCTGGAGGAAAAGCACAATGGTGGGACTAGGTGGGCGACAAGTAGCTGATGAAGTGAGTGGCTTGTTTGGAACAAGAAGTGCGTTTGGGATTAGGTAAAAGGGTATAAGGACTACCCTGAAGCATCTTGGAAACCAAACAGAGGAAGTCAGCTAATGTGGCAGGAAATGGGAACCAGGGTTGCGTTTGAGTCTGCAATTGGGGAGGGAGCAAGTGATGATAACAGGATCAAAGTACCACCCTGTGTGAGGTCAACCCTGAGCAGGGAGGCCCAGAGAAGGGAAAGCATGTTGAGGGGTGGAGGTCTGTGATATAGGCTAAGACAGAGAAGACCAAGGATGGGATAGGAAGAAGTGATGGGAGTGATAGCATAGGGTAAAGGCAGCTGACTGTGCAATGGCACCTTAGGGGTCAAATATGGCATAGGTGATAGGTCATGGAAGGTCTTCCAACAGAGTCTAAGAAGGGGAAGATGAGGAAAGCAAGGCACCATCTGTGCTTTTGGTGCTCCTGGCATTGCCAGGGCAAGGAGTGGGATGACAATTAGAAGTAGTGCTGGAGCACGAGATATAGAGTGTCAGACAAACACAGCCCCAATCAGAGGTGATCTGGGAAGGCCTTGGCCAAGTGCCACAGCTAAGAGCCAGACTAGACAACCAACAGAAGGCCTGTTTTTGTGGGGTAGGAGGTTGTGTTCCTGAAGAAGACTTCTTGACGAAAAAGGATCTGGGCAGTTAGGATGTCTGGGCATTGCTAGATGGACTGTTGCATGGACACTGAGCAGACCTTCTAAGGAGGGGAGATCGTCAATGGTGTTACACGTTTATCTAAATTTGCCTTAGAATGAATTGCTTGCTCCATTTCTGAGTGTGACCTTGCAGTCTACCAGGCTACTGTCAGATTTCCTCCCCTTGATCCCTGTGTTGTCCTAGGAACCGGGTTCTGGGGGCCTGGGCCTGGCTGGTGCCGGTGGCTGTTGTGCTCTCGACATTCGGATCCACAAATGGGGTGTTCTTCAGCGGAAGCCGCGTGTGCTATGTGTCTGGAAGAGAGGGCCACATGGTGAGAAACGGAGTCTGGGGTGGGGTAAGGTGGTAGGGCGGGTGGGAGGGGTGCTGGAAGGACTGACAAGCCAAGCTTTCTCTTGCCCAAAGCTTAACATGTAGCCCAAAGCAGAACTTCCCCAATAAGATATACCCCTCTTTTCTTTGGAGAGTGGGATTCAAACAATCCATACATCTCATCTTCAAACTCCAGTCGCTTTACTTCTAGGTTTTTGGAAAAGCACAGTACTGGGTCACACTGTGTGGAAATTGTAGGTGATAAGGACGTTTGTGCTCACCATCAGTGCAGTAACAGTGGAGAGGAGAGATGGGAAGAGTGTCGATGCATACCCTCTGCGCCCCCTCCCCCAGGGGACTCTCTGTCACTGTGCTAGCTTTTGCTGCAATAATGCTGAATAATGGCCAATCCTAAATTCTTAGTGGCTTACATTAAACTTTTAATTTTTTGCTCATGAGTGGAATGGGTCAGCTGTGGCTCAACTTCAGACTGTGGGTTGTGTTTTCTCATTCCAGACCGTGAGTTTGTTCTTATCTCAGGGACCCAGGCCAAAGCAGGAGAGGCTACCTGGGGCGTTTTAGCCTATAGCAGGTGGCAGGAGTGTCATTTCCTTCTTATGTCATTTCCGCTCACATTCCATTGGCCAAAGTAAGTGACATGGCCAAGCCCAACACCAATGGATGGCAAGCTATAGTACTTCCACAGAACTGGGGAGAGGGAGATTAAATATTTTCTGAACAATAATACAATGTGATACAATTACCCAGTATCCCATACCGTGGGCCACACATACCTGCCCCATCCTCTTCTCCCTTCTCCTCTTCTCCCTCCCGATCCCTCTTCCTGTCTTGGGGGTAAGGAATAGAAAGTCAAAAGACCTGGCCGGGCACCTACTACAGATCTCCACATTCCAGTCCCACACGCTAAGCTATTTGGGTCTTGGCTGGACTCGAGGCACAGGCTTTTGGTCCCCCCTCCCAATCTACATCCTGGGCCTAGTCATCCCAGCTGAACCACAGAGACTCGCATCTGGAAGTTGTGGTGATTGGTGACTATGAGATTGAGCACACTGGTGTCCAGAATGCACTAGGCAGGGGAAGAGGGCTGGGAGCTTCCGGGTGCAGACACTCACTGACCCTCTCCTTGGGCCTGTCTAATGCCTGGTTCTGCCTCCCAGCCCCAACTTCTGTCTATGGTTCACGTGCATCGCCTCACACCAGCTCCGGCGCTGATGCTCACTGCTGCAGTGGCTTTGGTCCTGATCATCCCAGGAAACTTCAGCACCATCGTGAACTTCTTGAGGCAAGTGAGACTGTTCTTCTAGGCCAGGTATCTGGAGCCCTCTATGTGGACATATACACAAACACATGCATGCACACTTCTGGAAGCCTGGCTCATCTTCCCCATACATGCGCACACGTTTCAGCTTTCTTCCTCCAGCCATGTTTCCAGAATTAAATGTGGCTCCCTCCTCTATTATTGTTTCCAAAAATTCAATGAGACAGATGTTTCAGAAGGACATCAAGAGACAGACAATTTAAAGGCTTGTGCAGTCTTAGTTAACTTTGCAGGCAGGGCAAGGGATTATTGTTTTTTTATTGTTCTTTTATTCTCTCTCTAAGATAATGTTAAGGAATATTCAGGGATTACCCATACAACTTGTAGCCCTTGGCTAAGGTATGATTTTTCCTCTGTGGTCAGAGCCTGAGTTCTGGACTCTGACCCAGGATGTCTTTCTTTAACTCAGGGACAGACCCACAAACAAGCTATTTAAGCACAACCAGTTACTACATAAAAGTGGAGAGATGTTCTGACCCTCTATAATTATCTTCCCTGGGGTAGAAATGATGGGCTGTTGTGATTCCCAGTTATCATTTTATAACCTCATTTGAAGCAGATTCAATGGGCAGACCCTTAAAACAGCAGCAAGCTGGGTACACAGGGAGTTCTCAGTGTAATTTTTCAAATATCACATGTTGTCTTTCTTTGTTGCTATAAGTATAATTAATCTTCTAGAACTGGACATACTGTGCTCAATGTGACTTTCTTAAGAACAATAGATAACAGACATGGTTTGTTCTTTTTATCTTTTTTCCCATGAGAAAGAATAAAATCATTATATGATGAGTCATTATGTGGCAAGAATAAAATCAAATCCATGGTGAGTGTAGGGGTCTTCAGGCTGAAACTGGATAATGTGATGGAGGGTCTCCAATAACAGAGTGAGAGCTCTAGAATGATCTACTCCAACTAGGACCTGGCATCTCCCAGTCTTGATGGCCTCAAGAGATGGCCTGGTCCTGAACCCTGCCTCCAAGATTAGAAGGAGCTTTCATTAGACCTATGTCAGTCATGGAAATGGAAACACTGGGGAAGGCAGAGGCAAGTGGTTTGTCCAGGTGCTCAGTGGCCGACCCCAAGTCACCAACCCTAAGGGAAACTATTGGGTGTGGGAGGAGGGAAGTTCTGCTATGAGTGTGCTGGTCCCTGAGGGGAGCACAGGCTACCCTGAGATTTCCTTAGACAATCAAATACACTCTGTTTCTTGAAAAACACAAACCACTCCTCCCTTCCCTTGAATATTGCCCATCCAGGGGCAGTCAGAGAAGGTCTGATCTGGAGGGACTCCCAGTGTCTGGGTTTGTGAGTGTGCATGCCACTTTGTGCCTGAAGACAAAGGTGGCAGGAATGGGTTAATGTTGACCCTCCATACCTTTCAGGGCATCCTTCTCCTCAGTGCCCAAGTCTTGCCTCCTTCACTCATTAGTTTGCATGGTTAAGGGGCTTGTACCTTTGCCCTAAGTTTGCACCCAGTAGGTCAGCCCCTCTTGTAGGCCTACCTTTGGCAGGGCCTGGTAATGAGCAGCCCATGTTTTCCTTTCAGCCTCATAACCTGGCTCAACTATGGAACAACCATTAGCTGCCTCCTATACTTGCGAATGAAGGAGAAGAATCTTCCCAGACCTTACAAGGTAGACTTGGGGATGGACATTGGGCTTCTCCAACCCTAGGCTGCTGTACACAGCAGGTCTTTGGGCTGCAGCCTCATTCAGAGCCCCAAAGACGAATATAAGGGGTTGCCACTGTCATTACATTTGGTACAGAATTTCCATATTTTCTGGGCAAGGCATCATCTGCCCGATAGTACCCCTTTCTCTAAGAACTGATCCTGGGGGAGTGAGGGACAACTAAATCACCAAGTATCAACTCTGCTGGAACTTGTTTCTCCCCTGGAGAACCTGAGGGAGAACAATGGGAGACAAATGCAGAGAGGACGAGAAGCATGTGCACAGTTGGGTTCACATAGCATAGAGAGGATAATGCTGGGTCCCAAGCCTCTACTCCCTGGAGTGTAGTCCAGCAGGTTGCTCCCCTGGCCTACACAGGGTACCAGGGCTGGGACTGGAAGAGAGGAGCTGATGGAAAGTGGAAGCAACAGGAAGGAAGGTAGGAGGGACAGAAACTTGGGCCCATATACCACCTCCCATGCCCCGCTTAATCATCCAGGTCCCAGGGCCAAATGCCTGCTCTGTGCTCACTGCAGATTCCCACATTCATCCCTGTCATCATGCTCCTGGTTTCTGTCTACCTGGTGCTGGTGCCCATCGTCGACAATCCCCAGATGGAGTTCCTTTACATCTTCCTGTTCCTGCTTAGCGGCTTCCCAGTGTATTTCCTATTTGTATATTTCCGGTGCCAGCCCAAGTGTTTGCAGATGGCTACCCTGCATTTCCAGCTACTCCTGGAAGTTGCTCCAACCACTAAAAATGTTGACTAAAGGACTGGACAGATTCTGCACTGACTTCTTTGCTGCAAACATATCTCCACACAAATGGCCGTGCCAGGTCTTCTTTAGTTGACTATGCATAATTCTAATAAATTCTTTAAGTGCTGTAATACTGCTGTCTTGTAGTTTTGGGTTATCCACCCAAGGCAGCACCCCCTTCTCTCAGAACAGCTCTGCTCCTTCAATGGTGGTGGACCCACAGCCCGTCTGGTGTTACATGACTGCCTCTCTGGGTCATAGCTATTTGTAACCCAGGTGGACACCATCCCTTCTTTTGGGATTTTGGAATTAGAGTTCTGTGGTCCTATTCAGTTTCTGATGGTTGCTTGACTTGAGGAATTGTAAATCTTGGGGATTTACAATTGGGCAATTGCAACCAAGTGGGCAGAGAAGTAGAGAATCACGCTGAGTAGAAAAGAGTGAAAGAAGATACGCAGAGAGATGGTGTTGAGAAATTACATGGCACCAAAGACTTATGAGGGAGAATCTGAGAGGGTAGCAGCCTTGATCCCTGGCTGTTTTCCAGTTCTGGTCCCTGTCCTTCTGTGGTCCCACTGCCATCCGACCATCCTTCCTGCTTTTTGATTGTCTGGGACAACCTGAGACCTTATAATAAATTTCCCATTTTGGCTGAAGTGAGTTTGAATGGGTTTCTATTTCTTACCACTAGAAGAGATTTGGCTCTGACCAGCCTTCCTGTTCAGGAAGACACGATACTTCAGTTAGTGTTTAAAACTGCCAACTGGCTTGAACAGGGAAAGAAGTGAGAGATGTGTCCTCCTGGGAAGGAGGACTTATTGGCTTTGGGTAAAAAGGATGACACTGAAATTTCTAGAAGAAAGGTTGAAAAGTTAGAACAGACCCCAGAAGGCTAATATGCTTACAGGGCTAGACAGAGACAAGGGAGCAGAGATATGTGGCTGCCCAGGTGAGTTATGTGGGATAGAAAGGAATAACCACAGTGCCTAGGAGAAGATAGATTAGGAACCAGGCTCCTGAGTGCATCCAGGAGAGTAATTCAGAAAGGGAAGGGGCAGAGAAGGCTGTTCAACATCTCTGCTCCTGAAAAGTAGACCCAGACAGCCTGCACATGGCTGTGCTTATATCAGTGTATGTCCAGTATGGAAAAGGCTGTCACGGATGCAGTGGTCTCCTCATGAACTAGTTTCTGAACTATGAAGGCTTTATCAGTCTCTTCTGAGGGCACAGCTGCCAGTGACATTTTAGGAAAAACCTCACACACCTTCTCCTCCAAACCACACAGCCTGCCTGAGAGATGAGAAATGTGCGAGAGAAGCTAATTCTACCCAGTTCCTTGTCAAAGGAGGCCACGAGTCAGGCTGAAAGTTCACCAGCAAAGTCTTCTGGAGCCTCCAGCAGGAATTTGTACTTTTCCCCTCTATACTCCCACCAAACTGTGCCTATGTCTCTTGTGAACCTTACTGGGCCCAGTTCCCTGATGTTTGTGTATCTTATTACCCTACTGGGCTGTGGGTTTGGTGAGGGTGGGAGTTTGTTCTTAGACATGTTTCTTCATCTGTCGGTTCCCACCATGCTGCTGTGCTGGACTCCCGGCTGATCAATAATGCTTGGTGAATCAAAATGATGAACTAGCTGTTAAATGATGGGAGAATGAATCACATTTATATTTTTAAAGATTTGTGCCCATGCCCATCTGCCCTATAGCCCCTGCTGTGTTCTGGGCTCCCAGGCCCTGACCTGAGGAGGTGTTCTAGGGAAGAGAGATGTCTTCTGAGTCTTGTGCAGTCACCCTCCAGCTGGCAGTGGATGCACGCCTGGAGGTGGAAAGCAGAAATCAGGGGCTGAACCAAGCACTGGTGTGGCCATGGCTGATACAACCCAGTTAGGCTCTGTCTCACTTTGTGACTCAGTCTCCCCATCCTTCTCAGGACCATTGCCACTGAATTGCAAAACAGGCTCCCAGTCCTGTTTTGATGGTGAGAAGAATCCCCAGGCAGGCCACTTACACAGTTATGCACCTCCCTGAGCTCCTGTCCTGCCCCAGGCACCTCCCCTGACCCCGGGATGGCAGTGGGGGAGTGATCCCAAATAGGAAATCTGAGACTTCTTAGGGACTTTGTACACTGGCTTTCTTACTCTGAGTCATGAGTGATGGTCTCCATAGTTAATTCTCTTCTATATTATCAGAGATGAAATAGTAAGTGTCATCTAACTAGACAATAGATAATTGGTAACTTTGGTGAAGGGTAAGACAGTACACAATATTGGGTAAGTCAGCAAAACTTGACCAAATCAAGGTCATGGAAGCTTCACAGACGCATCCAAATTCTGGGGACCAGGGTCTCGGGGAACATCTAGCTCAAATGGCATAACATATTTTATAAAGAAAATGTTCTACATCCTACTTTGGTGAGTAGTGTCTGGGGTCTTAAAAGCTTGTGAGTGGCCATCTAAGATATTCCACTGGTCCCACCCTATCTGGAACAAGAGAGAATGAAGAAAACCAAAGACATGAGGGAAAGATTAGTCCAAAAGACAAATAGATCACAACTACCACAGCCTCCACCAGACTGAGTCCAGCACAACTGGATGGTGCCCGGCTACCACCACTGACTGCTCTGACAGGGATCACAATAGAGGGTCCCAGACAGAGCTGGAGAAAAATGTAGGACAAAATTCAAACTCACAAAAAAAGACCAGACTTACTGGTCTGACAGAGACTGGAGAGTATGGCCCCTGGACACCCTTTTAACTCAGTACTGAAGTCACTCCTGAGGTTCATCCTTCAGCCACAGATTAGACAGGCCCATAAAACAAACGATAATACATGTAGCTCAACCATGTATATGAGACTAGATGGACACACCAGCCCAGGGGTAAAGACAAGAAGATAGGAGAGAACAGGAAAGCTGGACGAATGGTAATGGGGAACCCAAGGTTGAGAAGGGTAGAGTGTTGACAGGTCACGGGGTTGGCAACCAATGTCACAAAACAATATATGTATTAATTGTTTAATGAGAAACTAATTTGCTCTATAAACCTTCATCTAAAGCACAATAAAAAAGAAGGAAAGAAAGAGAGAGAGAGAGAGAAAGAAAGAGTAATTGCCATGGTCATGGCCTTTGAACTGAAAAGAATGCTCTGAAAAAAATATGGACTGATAAGAACAGTCCTCGCTGTTCCCTTCAGAGAAGCGACAAGTACTAGGAAATATCTGGGGCAGGTGTTGACTGGGCTCCTGGGGAGCAGGGCACTGTCCGTTCACCCTGTGTCAAGCCCATCAGCAATGTTTGTGTTTGGGGCAAAGCTGGTTACTCCCAGAGCCATACACACTCAATTCTTTGGACTTCTTTATGGCTATTTACACTGTCTTCCACTGAGCAGTTAGAGTGGGAGACCCGAGTTTCATAGATCAATCTACAGAAATCAGTGTCATGGTTAAAATTCCAAACATTACACAAGAGTATAAAAAAGTGAACATTAAAACTTCTTTTTCCACACTCCCCATTTCCAGAGGCAATTGGGTTCCTTGCTTCTTTCTAGAAAGTTTCTATGCAAATACAAGCAAACCATGATGGAGAGTCTACTGATTCTCTGCTCATAGAAACTAATTAAGAGCCCTTCAGTTTCACCTTGTTGAAGGGAAGTCGTTCTTACTTCGTGTTGTCATCTCCAGAACAGGTATCTGAGTCCTCTCGTGATGGTCTTTAGCGCTGTTCACCATGTTTTTCTAGTTCTTTTTCTGAGCACATGGCAGGATGGCACTTTCCTGACCACTTTGAGTTAAATGTGACCATATGACTTATTTTGTTCAATACAATGTGAGTCAAAATGATCTGTGTTACATCTAGGTTGAAGCTTCAAGAGCCAGTGCACTATTTCCTTTGCCCTCCATTTCCCTCTGCTCTGGTGACTGGTAATGTTCCAGTGGCTGCTCTGTTAGCCTGGGTCCTGGTGTAAGAATGACGTGGAGGAGAGCCAGTCCCCAGCCAATCCCATATGAGAATACAGTGTGAGCAAAAATAACATTTGTTGTGTTAAACTATGGATATTGGGGATTATTTGTTACTGCAGCATAGTCTGTTGTTGTCAGATGCTGTCGAGTTGGTTCCGACTCATAGCGATCCTATGTACAACGGAATGAAATACTGCCCAGTCTTGTGCCATCCTTACAATCATTGCTATGTTTGAGCCCATTGTTGTAGCCACTGTGTCAATACATCTCATTGAGGGTCTTCCTCTTTTTCGCTGACCCTCTACTTTACCAAGCATGATGTGCTTCTCCAGGGACTGTTCCCACCTGATAACATGTCCAAAGTACATAAGACAAAGTCTGGCCATCCTCGCTTCTAAGGAGCGAGCATTCTGGCTGTACTTCCTCCAAGACAGATTTGTTTGTTCTTCTGGCAGCCCACGGTATATTCAGTATTCCTCACAGCACCGTAATTCAAAGGCATCAATTCTTCCTCGGTCTTCCTTATTCATTGTCTAGCTTTCACATGCATATGAGGCAACTGAAAACACCATTGCTTGGGTCAGGTGCACCTTAGTTCTAAAGGTGACATCTTTGCTTTTTAACACTTTAAAGAGGTCTTTTGCAGCAGATTTGCCCAACGCAATGTGTCTTTTGATTTCTTGACTGCAGTGTAGTCTAGATCATCCTAATTGATAATCTCTCCTGTCCAGGAGTCTTACAAGTGCCTAGCACTATTGAACAACAGGCAGTTCTCAGCTGAAGAGTTCGTGATGAAGCCATGCTTGATGTGAGCTCATCCTCTCCCTGGTCTCCTCAAAGTTTCTCCACCTTCTTCACTTTTCATTGCTTCCTCGTCACTCTTCTCTGCCCTTCTTCTCCTGGCACCCCTCTGCCTTCTCCCTTTCTTTCCATGGGCACAGTCTTATTTTATCTCTGGAGAGGAAAAACTGGTTCTGCAAATACGCACAAAAGAAATTTTGTCTAATGAGGGCTTTTGAATCTTCGTTCCTGCTTAAGTGTGAACTGAAGAAGGAAAA